AACGCAAATACAAGTGTCATCTACTGATCATCTGATAATTTACTTTAGCTGAAATAAAACAGTTTTTTTTCTTACACAGTAAGTTTTAACTAAAAATTTTACAACGTTCCAGTTGGAAAGTGTTGAACGTGCGCGTAGAATACGAAAAACACAACTTTTTGGTCCACATCTCAAGGGAAATCCATCCCCCGGATTGTTAATTATTCAAATAATGTAGCGTCCATTAAGCTAAACTTTCCGCTGGAAATTTTTCCCTCGGAGAGCGCGCGCCCGCCGACTTTATTACTACATTCTTCGAATAGTTATGCACGCGGCGTATCACGAGAACCATGGGATTACAGAAAATACCACTTGCTCAGGTAGACCGTTTTTGCCAAAAAAAAAAACGAACACAACCAGATGATATTTGAATGTTTGAACATTTGAATAAACCCGCATTTGCAAACATTCGCGCACTCCAGATATCATCTTCTATAGTTCTCGTGCTTTCTTTCGAAAATTCCAAAATGTACATCTTCTATCGAAATCGTAGTGAAAATCCAAAAGCGTAATATTTCACGGTAAGCGCCGGTCTTCACTTATCCGAGGCATTTATCTCTGGACGGATAATGAAACAACCCACATTTTTACTTCAACATTTTTACATTACATATTCGGACGAGTCGACCCAGTTCTCTACGGCTAGACTTACTTTGGCCGTATGAAGCCGCCCGCCGCCGGTAGCCGCGCCGACGGTGGAATCCATCATAGATCATCAAGATAAAGGGGCCTCACAACATCCACGCACGTTTCGTCGATCGCGGTAATTTATCATTTTTTATGCATGTTCAAAAAGCGAACAAAAACAGCGGAGTTTTTTTCGGTGGGTTTTTTCCTTTATTGGATCATAACCGAAACTAAATGGATAATATTGTGATCAGGTATGTGTTGTAATAAGCTGTAAATAGACGTTTTTGATTTAATGGAGTCATAATTGCATACAGTATGGTCAAAAATAAGGTTATTTTTAGAAAAATACAAGAAAAAAATTATTTATTTTTTGTCTAGACAATTGTCTAATTTTTTTTACTTCCAACTTAAGCGCATCCGTTTTTCCATGGTTTTATTAATGAAATATTCATTATCTACGGGTATTATCTACGGGGCGGAGCTTGCACCTGCGCAGTTGCCTACGGAGCAGCTCTAGACCGTATAAAATGCCATGCGACGTCGGTCAAAAGTAGAAAAATGGCTAAAGGTGGTTAAACACTCGATTTATTAAACACTCTCAATCAATCTCGTGAGTAAAGTCCTCTTTTTGCTACATGATACTTAATATACTTTTTTAGCTTCATTTTCAAACAATAAACAATAAAAATTCAAATTAATTTGCATCAAATACAATTTTCTACTGTTTTTATTCCAAAAATACAGAATTTCGACGAAAATGTTTAATGCCCAGGTTAATGTGATGTTGTAAGTTTGTGAATTTAAATTAATTTTTGCCGGCAATGATAATAATCACACAATTTCGATTAAGTGCCCAATTTGGTAAATTAACTGTCACGGCGGCTCATCAGATCAACGCGCGGTTAGGGCCCATACCCTCAGTATACCTTGAGCAGGTAGATGAACAACGGGGTTTCAATGTGGGCACACGCGGTCCGAGGTGGCGATGGCGACTAATGCCGAATATCTATGACCAATCAGTTTAGGCCGAAGATATATTGGGCTAAATTACAGGTATGGCTTAAACTGCGCGCCAGCTTATTTCCTGCCACTTGTAATTCATGGGTTTAACACCTTTGCGTTAATCGATATTGCTTGCCAACCAAGAAGCCAACCTAATTCCACACTAGCACCTCTTATACTCCAAAAATTAATAAATTTGATTTTTTTAAAAATTCAATGTGCAACATAAGCAGAACGTGAATACATGTGTAAAAGTGTGAAAATGTGCAAAGCGCGAGTTTTAATCCGTGCGGATTACCTTGTTTGTGGGTTTGCGACGCTGACACGTTGTAATAAACCTCGCCGCTTCCACGAAACCCTTCAATGCCCGCCAATAATTAAATACAACTGCTGTACCCTCGATGCACACCTCCAACGACACATTTTTCAACTTTAAACCGAGTTGTATTAATTGGATTCATTATTAGCTGCTGCTAGGGCTTCCGACATGGCCAATATTCATGTTGATGATAAAATCCCCAATTGTAATTTATTCCGATCGACGCGTAGGAGGGTTTATTAAGTGGTGCTTAAGAATGAGGAGCGCTCTAAATAAATATCATATATCACCGAATTCTCGTCGATATAATGGGAAGAGCCGAGGAGATATTCGAGATATGCGTATATCAAGATGCAAACAAGGCGGTTGACTCAGCCCTCGACCCGCAACTCGCAACCCCGAACCCTCATCGGGCAGCCGCGTCATTTTCGAGCGCGTCGTCAACCTTTCATCTCCTCGGCGGCCACCCGACATCACCATCATTGCCGCCGCGCCGCGTCATTCGATCGAAATTGTGCTCGTCGATAAACCACACATTACGATATTTTCGGCGCGACAAAAAGAGGGTTGGATTACTAAAGAAGTATTGGGTTACTGAGCGAAGGGGAAAAAAAAACTTCTATGCAAGATGAATTCTTGAGTATTGGGTTACAATTGTTGGGATGCAAGAGTTGGAAAAGCATGCAATTTATGCAAATAAATTATTTTGCTTTGTTTGTCCAAAAAAATAAATGTTTTAAATTTTTGTTTGTAAAAACATATGACAAATTATTGTAACTGTCTTTTCTGATATTTTTGATCGGCATTTTTTCAATATTTTAGAAGTAAAATAGGAAAAATTAATTTTAGTTTTACAGTTTCCTGTAATTTATTAAAAATCTGCAACACATTATACTCTAAAAGAAAATTTATTCTGTAATCTCTTTGAATGATTAGTTAGCTGAGTTTTTTTTTCCCAAAAATATTAAAAATTGTTAAAACGCAGGAAAAATGAAAGTTTTTAAGTTTTGCTTTGATTACTCTGAAGAAACTTTAATTGTTTATTAAATTCTTCCATGATTTATCCAATTCCGCCCTAGTTAAATTTTAATTTTAATCATTGTTGAACATACCAGGAATACCTCCCATGACCAGATTGCAGTTTAGAATTCAACAACGAATTTCAATGGAAGCGACTATCCGACGCTGATTGTGAGTCGTAGGTATTTTGAGCGTTTGAAGCATTCGTTATTCATTCCGAATTGTGCGTTTAGGACCAATTTAGCGTTTGTGTTTTAGTTCGTACTAACCAATACAATAAAATTACCGATGAATCAACAGAATAACACAAAGAATAAATCAAAACAAAAACTAGTACCTAATAATTTCATTTCCATTTATTGTAACATTGAATAGTTGTTTTGATGATGATGGAGGATATTGAAATATGACACTGAAAGTGTATATGATGGAAATGGCCATATTTCTGACCATCGATGTTTTGCGCCGTGATATCAATTCAGATTATTGCAAAAATATATTACACAATCGACATGTAGTGCATTGCAGCACGCCAGCATGGACACCAATTTCGGATACGCGTAAATCATTACTAATTAATTAATTTATATAAAATGAGTGTTGTTTTATCTTTATTTACATTATTTTGATTATATTTCAGTGAATTAATAAAATTTAAGTTAAAATAATTTTAAAAGGTTATAAAATGTGTTATAATTTTGTTTTAGTTGCATGATTTTTAGCAATTTATAAACACACTGTATATGGTTTATGCGCACATAAACATTTCTGCATATTTTATCCAAAGCGAAGCACTCTTATCGTGTTATAATAATTCATAGAGAGGCGGCAAACGTTCTCACACCAATTCGGTTATAGTTCCAGCCCTCGTTTCATGCGCATTTGCATTCCATGCAAACCAACGCAAAATGGCGGCATGCGCCTCACTGCAAGTTAATTGTTGCGGTTTATTTTTAACCAAAACAAAAATATATTCAAATATACATCCGCCAGTCTAATATCTGATTAACCGTTGGTAATGAACTTGAATTCTCTCCCCAATTTAACCCTCGCCACGACTTGCTACTAAATCATAACAAAAATATAATAAATTTCAGTTGCAATAAAAATATTGTTAATATGCACCCCAACTTGACTGCACCCTAAGAAAGCTTCTTTATTACGCTTGTTTGCCGACGACGGTGTAATCTATTATTGTGGTTTGCGTCTTAGCTTCAACCCAAACCACCCTTATTACCGCTGCACCCCTGGCGCTGGTTTTGTTTTGCTTCCTACGCATTAACGCATCAGTTCAAATGTAAACGCATCTTTTGTTTCAGCCAGGGGTGTGTAATCATACAATTATGAAAGGTTGTTGAGCGGAATGCAGTGGGCAAAACACAGAACAACCCCGAATAATGTTATGGGGTTGAGTACTTTATGTTGGAGGGATTTCTAATTAGAATTTCTACGGGGAATCAAGTAATGCGTAATTCATTTCCGACACAATCTATTTTTATAATATTTCTTAAGTATTTGATATCAAGTGTATTGATTACGCACTTTCAACTTAATTTTTACTTACTTAGCATTTATTATTTATTACAATGACGTCGTTTAAAGCTTGAAAAATAAAAAAGATAAGTGAAAAATTATCAATTAGGTAAAGGTATCTTATCTTTCAAGTTTTATATGACGTCATTGTAATTCTAAAGTAAATACATGTTAATGTCAATAACAAATTAATAAAAAAAAGTAATTGCCCGGATATTTCACTTAAAGCAAAATACTTCGAAATTCATACTAATCCTTTTTTCTTTATAATTTGTCTAAATTAAATATTGAATTACTGCAATTACGAATGTTTATTTGATAACTATTAATCTCTATCTGAAGATTTCAATTTCGCAGAATTTTGATTGCCGCTACGTGCGTATATATACGACATGATTTTGCCAATGCCAGTATCGTTTGGCTTGAATTTACTTATATATCTTGGACAGTACATGAGTTAGCAGGTAAGATACCGCATTTTTTATGTATTGTAAATAGGCAAATATATATATATATATATATGCGTAGATAGATATAACGCAACGTGCACAAACTCTTCTAGTATATGCATTTTTGCAGATATTATGAATAATCAAACAAAAGAAAAAATTGAAGATCTTCAGGAAAGGGGTGAGAAAGTGGGAAAGCGGAAGGCCGCCAAACAACTAAATCGCAACTATCAACATGTAAATTAATTGTAAGCCTTTTAAAGTTGCAACGTGTAATTTCTATTTTTGTGTAGGTTGTGAAAAATACCTCATCGAAAACTGTAAAAGGTGTAGCAAAAGGTACATCCAGAGCGCTACTCATTCCAGCATTGATATCAGACGCCTACGATGTGGGTAATGCTGTGTCCGCCGATTACCAAAACTCGACTAGCCGTAACACGGTTGAGACAGTTGCAGGTGTAGCTGGTGGTTGGGGAGGTGCCGCTGGTGGAGGTTCTGCTGGTGCTGTCATCGGTAGTGCAATATTTCCAGGAGTAGGCACTGTAATTGGTGGTGTGGCGGGTGCCATAGTGGGTGGAATTGGTGGATTCTTTGGTGCTAGTGCAACGACCGAAGCAGTTTCGGATTTGGCTGGTTATGATATGGAAGAAAGATGCTGTAAGAGATGTAAACGGAAATTTATTGTGCGTTTATACCTGTCTTCTGAATCCAAACAAGTTTATTGTCCCGATTGTCGGTAAAAGTGAAGGGCATTAAAATGACATTTATATGTTAGTTCTAAACTTTAATTGTAAATAATTGTAACAAATTTTCAACTTGCAATAATATAATTTTTTTATTATAGATAATTCTAGAGTTCATTTTTTTTCAGTCGAAACACGAAAATAAAACATTATTATCTGTATGTCATATGACAAGTATCTATTTATAAACAACTGAAAATTTACTTCATTGAAATATATTTCCTTGTGTTTGTTATTTAAGTTTGTGTGCTGGTTATTTACATCATCGAAATTCGTTCGCACACTACTGGGAACTGTAAGGTTATAAAAGAATAAAGTACTTTAGTCATGGCCTTGACCGCCTGTGTTTAAAGTGCTACATTTTGTGTCTAAACACTTTGAAAACATGCACGTACCTGGATATTGCACTTGACGTCGAATACTTCAAAATGGTAATCCACCACAATATCTTCCTAATTTCTATAAATTAGATATGGGCTTATCATCTACGATTACAAATGTGTGTTCGATAATTATTTATCTCAATATGAAAGTCTCAATTTCGCCGAATTTTAATTTCAACAATGTAGGTATCATATACCAACTGCTCGATTTGCCAACCAGTATCGTTCGGTTCGAACTCCACGCTTTGTTTTCTCCTACTGTACTAACATAACCAGGTAAGATATTGCATCCTTCATATCATTGAATTTAAAATATATATTACTAGCTTTAACCCACGGCTTCGCTCGCGAATATCTAAAATAATGAAGTTGCTTCCGTACGCATCTGTAGTCACAGAAGAAGTAACAATGAAGTAGAATGGTGGGAAGTTTAAAATGGCTGAAAGTATAGTCTATGGAAGTATAGTGTACAGTCTCCATAGTGTAGTCAATTGGATTTGATGTTGACGTCACTGTCGGTAATACAGTGTGATAATACAGTGTGATGGTACTATAGTACTTAGGTTTGAGCTTCATTTCTGGAATGCTAGAAGGCGTTAATGTAGTCAAATAGCCAGAAGCAGAGGTATTATTGGCTAAACAATTTCTTTATTTTATTTAAAAACTAATTTTTTTTATGAAATAAAAAGTAGCATATAACCATTCGGGGACCACTAAGAATATGTTTACAAATTTTCATGATGATCGGTTAAGTAGTTTTTGCGTGAAAGTGTAACAAACATCAGAACTTTCGCATTTATAATATTAGTAGGGAGAGTCAAGTTGTTTCATAAGTTTAGACAGATGTACTAGTATTTATGTAGCAGTAAAACGAGTTGGAAAATTCTTTTGTTACTGATGACAATACATCCAACTTACCTCTTATTAATATAAATAAAAAATATGCAGTAATTAGAATTGAAAATTTATTCAAAATTATTTCAGCGGTCATTATGAATAAATCAGCACCTGAAAAGTCTGTAGGAAGTAGTGCCGCAACCGGAATGTTGAGGTCTGGGTCACACCTTAATAAACATTTACCACAAGTAAGTAAAATATATGGTTTAAAAATTGCAAAATATTATAAAACCCTTATATTTAGGTCGTATCTAGCACCACGTCAAAAATGGTCAAAAGTGCAGCGGGTGCATCAAAAGTAATGCTCATTCCTGCAATAGCATCCGATGTTTATAGTGTGTACGGTGCTGTGTCAACCGATTACGAAAACTCGACAAGTCGTAACACTGTGGAGACAGTTGCCGGTGTTGCTGGTGGCTGGGGTGGAGCAGCGGGTGGAGGTTCTGCTGGTGCTCTTATCGGTAGTGCTGTATTACCGGGAGTTGGCACTGTAGCCGGTGGCCTTGCAGGTGCCATTGTAGGCGGAATTGGTGGACTCTACGGCGCTTCAGCAACAACGGAATTAGTTTCTGATATGGCGGGTTATGATATGGAAGAAAGGTGTTGCAAAAAATGCGGATACAAATTTACAGTGCGTTTGTATCAGTCTTCTGATTCCAAACAAGTTTATTGCCCTGATTGTCGCTAAAAGTGCATGGAATTAAATTACATTCAAAACTTCAATTAAAAATTACTGCTACAAATTTAAAACTCGCAATAATATTGAAATTTTTATTATGGATAATTTTAGAATACACATATCTATATTATATGACAAATATTCCTCTTCTTCTTCGTAAATTGCATAAACTGCTAATGATTTCTCTTAATAATTTCTGTAAATTCGATATGAATTTATTAATATGCGGAGATATATTTATCTCTGCGTAATTCATATACGAAACAATTTTTATTTTTATTTTTCATTGAGTACACTATTTGCGCACCTACAACTTTGCTTTTGGTGATGATAATTTTGATAAAATGTCATAACATTTGATATAACATATTTACTACCTTTTGTGCTATACCAGATAAATTCCGCTTCATATTAAACTCCCATTAAACATTATTTCTAACATAGATTACAAATATTTTTAGTATAATTTTTACTTGCGTTGCAGACGTTCTTTACGAGTTCTTCTAGTACATTACAAAATTAATAGAATTGTCCTATGCATGCTATTAGCCAATAAAAATTGATTCGGTCAATGTCAAGGTCAGCATGTAAAATGCAGACGTTCATTTGCAACTTTTTCCACGAATTCGTGAATAAATAAAGGTACGTATCACGAAAACGACTCTAAAAGTAATTTATGCTGGACTAGTAAAAACAAAGAAATATATTTTCCAATTACTCAATGTTACCCGTCAGGTTAATACTTGTGTATACTTTACTATGAATTAAATTATCCTAAGAATTACTTTTTACGTCAATATTTATTATTTTAACATAATTTCTTAAAACACTCCTTTAAAAAATCATAAACACGCTCAATTCAACTTCAATTCATTCAAAACTTTGTAAAAGAAAAGACTAGTTATAACGCGTGTGTTTAGTGCATTATTATTCAATTATATTCGTGTTTTTCTGTTGGAGATGAACTTTTGAGATAGTGCAAGTCGGTTGTTTCTTTCAGTGCTGGCCGCTTGTAATTCGCTTGTAATTCTTGTCATTTGAGTTCCCCGAATGCTCCACCGAGCCATTGAATTACTAATTGAACAATTACAACGCACGATTTCTCAGTTTTTCATCGCCTTATCTTATCAGCATCTACGCATCGACTTTTACGACAAATTTATTCAAATTCTTCGTGTTTGGACTTTTCGAAACGTATTTTAACCTCACATGCAATAAATATCAGATATATATATAAAAAACTCTATCAAAATATCTAAATATTTGTTTAAATCATCTTTAGTAATTTACGATCTGTTGGTTTCTAATATTCGTCATACATTCAGTACACACCTTCTTGTCTTAAGCGCTTAATAACTGCTTAATTATAAAAACCACATTTATCTTGTTGCTTCTACGTATTTTTGGGTTTTCAAAGTCATAACTAATGTTATAATCAAATATTTTCTCCTTTTTGCTTTTAAAAATGTTAAACATAAGTTTAACACGACGTGAATTATTAATATGCATTAATAATCAGTTAGTAACAAGTTAACTTCTTGTTTAAATTATTTACATCTCTTAGTTTCTCTCTTAATAGCCACTTCGAAGATTATGCTCGAATGGAAATCTCGTCGGTAATCATCGTTAAGGCGGTGAAACCGCCGCAGCCAGTTAACATATCGTAACGTCGGATATGTTAATTACGTTGATTGCAGCCTGTCAATATTGATTATAGTAATAACCTCTTCTCGCCCGTGAATGCAAGACAAGAATTTTCGGCGTGCAACACGGAGATATTAATTTAAATATTTCAGTCTCGATCTGTTTTTAAATCATAAGAAATTTTATTTTAATAAAACACCCACTTAAAATAATATTAAAACAGAAAATGATATTGTTCTAATTTCACCTATAAAGTTTTTGCACGGATTTTAGACCAAGCCGTGAATAATATCTATTATCTACGGGCATTATATACGGGGCGGAGATTGCGTCTGCACAGCAGACTTAGCTACCGAGCAGCACAAGTCAAACACGTCTCGTGGAACTAGAGTGGAAGTAGAAAGCATAGCGTAAGCATCACGTGGCTAAACGTTGTTAAACACTCGATTGTTTAAACGCTTGCTACGCTCGCTCTCAATCAATCCGGTGAGTAAAATCTTCGTTTTGCCACTTGGTACATAATATACTATTTTGTGGTTTATTACAGAACGAATGAAATAAATAATTTAGTTGTGTTTGTTTTCAATCAATACATTTTTTGTTTTCAGCCAAAAATCAATGTTTGATAACACAAAGAGCGCGCGTGGAATATTTGATCCAAAAAGAGATTAATAATAAATATTCTGTTGTTTGCCGCGTACAACTCACAGAGACAAACACGTCATTACTAACTGCTTTCGAAGCCGAAATTTGAAATTATTCCGAACGTAATAACGCATTTACTCGATTCATAAAATGTCGCTTTGTTTTTTCAGTCCTTTCGACAGGAATATTTAATGTCAACTTCAATCATTACGTAGGTATGAGCTGGCAAAGTTTCCAACTCGCACGATTTCATGTGATTTATGACGATTGACATTTGTTAATAATTTAAGTCGAAATTGACCATACGTTTGCTCCCTGCACTCGGAGTGTTTCAAAATTTAATAAATTGACATTGATTTTATGTCGAAAATAATATTTTATTCAAACACTTGGTATATTCAATACATTAAATAAATAAAACAATTGAAACAACAGCAGTGAGCCGAGTTTCGGAGCCGGAAGATGCGTATCGCGACAGTAAGTTGAAGGGCAAAGGTAGAAAACGAAAACGCGGAAATTTATAAATGTCAAACGTGAAGATCAAAATGATGATTATTAATTAACTAATGCTTTACTCGCGAACGCGCGAGTCACCTTTGGCATTACGCTTTACCTTTGCTTCTGTCTTTACCTTCCGTTTTCGCTTTCTGGTCGCCTTTGGGTCTTTTCCATTTTCTAGCTACACCTTACAATCGTGTTTGTGTGTGTCAATGGTAGCATGTAGCATTCATTGCGAGCCATTTATTACGTAATAATTTAAGCGCATAAATATATAAGGATAGCAAACAGAGACAAAAAATAACAGAAAAGGGAAACCAGTTCAACGAACAAACCGGAAATATTTTGATATCTATTTAATTCAGAAAGAAAATAGCATATTAAATATCAAGTGCGCTAAACGGCACTCTAACAACGTTTAGCAACGTGATAAAATACTTTAGTCACGACTATGGCGGTCCGTGACTAAAGTGCAACTTTTCACGTTGAAACCATGATATGATACATGATACATGCCCTTTAAAAGTAAAAATAGAAAAATATATTTTTGTGATTGTGTTTTCTATTATCAAGATTTACGAACCTGTAACCAAAGACTTGATACCCGTGTATCCTGTGAACAAAAGCAGCAAATACCTGAACACAAGGTGCATTCACCGCCTCGACAATAAATTCAATATAAATGAGATTAAATTTTGACCGTGCCGATTGCGATTGCAACTGCGCTGTCAATTCCATTATCCACCACACACAATATCTACATCTACTCCTCCTTACATCCCTGGTGACCTCCGAAGAAAAGTCAATATTCTCCACTACTTATTTGAAAACTACCGCTACAAGACTAAACTTACTTTACTTGACGTAAAGTCGGGTAAGTTACGAGTATAACTCGTAGCAAATTAAATTAGTGAATTCAGATTTTGAATTTGAATTTTGAAGCCTGGATCCCTGGCCCATGAATCATGATAATGAACTTGTGGTTAGTCCACTCTTGGATTCTGCTCTACCACATGCTTCCGTTCAATTGTGAGCGCCGCCTAACCGTTCTAAGAATTTATATTTCAGTGGTATCATGTTAGGCTGGTAGTTATCTCTGCCCAGCTTCCGGTAATAATTAACCAACCCTAAAATAATTAATCAATCTGATTCGGAGTGTTCTACAAATTTAATTTTAACCAACAAATATAACAAGAGCTTTCGAAAAATTGTTTATTGTTTTAAAATAATAGTTTATTAAATATCACGTGCACTAAGTGGCACTTTAACAACGTGAGCATCACCTCGTGACTAAAACTCGTGACTAAACTACTTTAATCACGACCTTAGCTGTCCGTGACTAAATTGCTACTTTTGAATCTCAAAACCGTAGAAAAAGTAATTTGTTACCGGTGGAAGTAAAAAAATATAAAATGTAACTTTGTTTTGCCATCAGAAGAGATAATTCTTCCCTGCTGTGCAATCAGAAGAGTAAGAGTAAGAAAGGAATGCAACTTAAAGAAAGAAAGAAAAAAAGTCGAAAAGATCGATTCGGTTAAATTCTTTTGTCTTCGGCGAAATTAGAATATAAATTAGGCTGTCGCGGCATTATCGGAATCCGAGGCTAACTGACGTTAATGCAATTTTACAACTTTCTTCCCTCTCGCACCATTGTAGGCGGTGGCGGCGTCGGCGGCCAATTTTCTAATTGATTGTCTTAATGTGCGGAGCTTTAAAAGTTTAAAACCGAATTTAAGAGCGTCGAATTCATGCATTCGCCCTACGAGCGCATCCACAATCCGCCATTCTATTCTTTTATTTATTTTTTCGCTTGTTTGTTTGCTTCCAAGCGAAAAAAAAACACACCAACGTCTGCGTCGTTTTTATGGCTCACGATTCAATTGGATGCAGTTTTTATTTAGTAATTAAGGTTTTATCACAAAAAATCTAAATAGACTTTAATTTCGGTTCTAATCTCAACTTATTATACTAATTGACAGATTAAAAAAAAATCAGAAGACTTTATTTTATATTTTAATGCTGTATAGTTTTGTAATATTCACGGTGCATTATCGTTATGAGTTTAATTTCGTAAGAGTGGGTTGTAGTGGATTCTAGGCGCTACTCACCGAAACTTTCGCTCGTGAGATGGCAGCGCGCGATAGGTGAGCGCGAGGTGTTGCGGATCGGTTTATCGGCGTAATAAATTTATTAAGCGTCGTAATTTACGGCCCCTGGAGGTGAATATGACTTGTAAAGATAAATAGCTGCGTTATAGTGCGCTAGCGCCACAACACCGCGCGGCAAACATTAAATGCACGTAGAAACTACGCCGGCACAAGAAAATCAATATGTTAGGTTTATTACTTATTT